TCATCAGACTTAAACGACATTTTGTAAAAAGAGGCTTCAGAATAGGAAAGTGGTAAGTGCCACACACTCAAGGACACTTGATCCACTCAACAAGTTGCGACAGGTACGGATTTCTTTAAACAGCTAATAAGTTAGATAACTACGCTCAGTGCTACATTCTCGCTATTGCGAGAAACCGCAGTTATTGACCATGGTAGGGACCCGGAAGAATAATCTTGACTAGAATACTGACACGTGGGAGTTCACCTTCGCAACATATTTGAACAATTTGGAATGGGCTACAACCAGTTGTGAAGACAACGTCGACTGAATGCAACAATTTCATTATTAATGGTTTTAATAATACCAACATTAGGGAATAAAATCTTGTTCGTGTTTATCGTGATCTTTGGAAATTGAAGTTAATGTTGACTTGAGAGGTGTCGGATAACAATAATGTACTCACTGCACAGAAGGTCGCTTTTCATCTCTGCAGACGTCACTGGCTAATCAATGGGTTTGACAACACCGGTCTCTGGCTCCACAAAGCACGTCCTCGCGTTCAATGCAGTTGCGCTCACACCTCTTAAATTGATGGAAGCACATTGCTTTGATAAAGTTACCAATTCAATTTACTTACAGACACGACACATTACGGGAATTTCCTAATCTCTACGAGAAACTGTCTAGGGAAAAAGTACATGTCTTAATGTAACAATCCTTGCATATGAATCATTTGGAGGAGAGCAGTACCTGACATTGAAGCAGTCCAACTGGAACTTCCTTCAAGCAAATTTATGTCGCCCAATTTGGACCAGATGGTTTTTATTAAAATTATAACAGCAAAGATCACAATTGTAAGGTTTAATTTCATAGGCACCCTTGCTAAAAAAATACCTTGTGCTCTAGCAAGCAGGAAGGACGATGGACGCACACATAAGCAATTATAGCTACTTAAATAGATTTAAGTGGAAGAAGAGTACCCACAGGGTGTCTGCCCGGTTTGTGCGTTGAGAACCGCGCCAGGGCATCATGCGATACTTCAGCGCCTTTAAACGCTCCTACTCCCCCTCCCTCATAAAAAATGTCTATCACCTCCAAATTACAAATGAAATGCGTTGGAGCGTGAGTGATTTACAGGTAGTGCGCAATCCGTTCAAACTTCTTCGAGGCCCTATCAAGAACTGACAGTATATTCAGGAAAAAGTTACTATTAGGATATTGCCGATTGAATTGATTGGAAAACTCAATATACGGACCTCATTCTGATTCTTGAGTTTCTCATAGTGCTCATTAAGAGAGTTCACGTCGGAGTGGCTAGTTTTCATAAGGAAATAGGCTACATCCAGCTTCAGTCATTCATCTAACATTCGACACTTAGTTTTGATCACCTTCAAGCCGTACAACAAGGGTAGCGCCCTCAGACCAAAGTCGTGCAGAATACGCACATCAAAGTGCATTGTACTGCCAAATCACCTACTCATGTCCAGCCCTTCTATCGGAATTTTCGATGCTATTAAGTTAGAAATCGCTTAAACACTACAGGCTGCCTGAATCA